CTTTCATGGTAGCCACTAGTCTTTCATGGTAGCCACTCAGTCTTTCATGGTAGCCACTAGTCTTTCATGGTAGTCACCAATCTTTCTTGGTAGCCACTCAGTCTTTCATGGTAGTCACTCAGTCTTTCATGGTAGTCACCAGTCTTCATGGTAGTTCACGCAGTCTTGGTAGCCACCAGTCTTTCATGGTAGCCACTCAGTCTTTCATGGTAGCCACTCAGTCTTTCATGGTAGTTCACGTAGTCTTTCATGGTAGTTCACGCACTTTCATGGTAGTCACTCAGTCTTTCATGGTAGTTCACTCAGTCTTTCATGGTAGTCACTCAGTCTTTTCATGTAGTCACCAATCTTTCATAGTAGCCACTCAGTCTTTCATGGTAGTCACGGCCCCGCGCTACAGTCTGCTCTCGCCTGCAGTTACACCCACGAAAAAATGAAATAAAAAGAGTATCTATACATGACAGGTTCTCTATTCTTATCATCGCTCTCCCATTTCTCCCTTTATCAAGTTTTATTATTCGTATTCTTCTTTCTGTTGTATTTTTACCTGCTAGACACACCACATACATGCGCGTATCTCTCTCTCTCTCTCTCTCTCTCTCCATTCTAATTACCGGTACATCCAAATTTTCCCACATTAAAATTATATTTCAGAGTTACAGTGACTTGGTAAACGTATGAGGGAACTGAATCCATTATAGAGTTACTGTAATTATATCATAGACTATTATTGATGTTAATTATAGGTAAATATATGACTTGGTGGAATACTTGTCAAATGGTAAAGAAAATATATTTGTTATTGTTTTTTTACTTTTGTTGTTGTTCAAAATTACTGTATATAATCGTATCTGGTTTTATACTTTAAGAGGAATATAATTAAAATGGTATTATTGGTTCACTGGCCATCAATAACAGCTACATATATTATAAATTTCTTTCTATACATTGTTTTATTATTATTATTATTATTATTATTATTATTATTGTAAAAAAATTACAATAGGCTCCAATTATTATATTAAAAGTATGTGTATCTACGACCCATTTTGTTTATAGACCAACAAAAGAAAATAACTTGGTGATGTTTATAAATATGAGGTTTGAGCGATAGTAGTGAAGTAATGTTGTTCAGTGATGGTATAGACGCTTGCTGCCGCCCCCACCCTCTCTCCCACACTACCCGCATCACCCCCTCCACCTGCCCTCAACCCATCCCTCCTCTTGACCCATGTAGTATATACCTGGCTACTTAATATACTGGAGTTAATGAAGTGTGTCCGTCACCTTCCTGGCCGTCTCACCTGTCTCTCACGGCGGGAGTTGTTTTGTTTACTCTCTGGTTTTTGTGTGTGTGTGTGTGTGTGTGTGTGTGTGTGTGTGTGTGCGTGCGTGCGTGCGTGGTGTGTGTGTGTGTGTGTGTGTGTGGCGTGTGTATGGTGTGTGTGGTGTGTGTGTGTGTGTGGTGTGTGTGTGTGTGTGTGTGTGTGTGTGTGTGTGTGTGTGTGTGTGTGTGTGTGTGTGTGTGTGTGTGTGTGTGTGTGTGTGTAGGTGTGTGTGTGTGTGTGTGTGTGTGTGTATGTGTTTTTGCGTGTGTCGTACAGGTGAGCCTGGGAGAACTAATTACCAACTTGCCTCAACAACAAATTATGAGTGCACCTGGACTTCCATCGATCCTCCTTTCTCCTCCAGCTCATCACTCTCTTGTGAACTTATTGCGACGAAATTGAGTCTCAGTTTTATCCTGACCAATTTTGTCTTCAGTTTTATCATCCGGAATACCATAAATGAGTCCAGTCTCTGTCTGTATACCTTCCCTATGGGCACTCAATGTCATAAACAAAATATATGTATCCCCAATCTGTAAATTCCTCGACACTGACTATTAACTTCTGTGGAGACGATATTACATAACTCTGATTTCTCTCATCTCTAGTTTATCACCTGATTAAACACCCTCGCTCTGGGGTTAGGTTGCAGGTTAGGTTGGCTAATCTGTGAAACAAACTGAGGTTCACTTCAGGTGATCACTGCACCACTTAAGTGATTGCAGAGATCTTTGCAAGTCTCCGCAAGTTCGTCCCTTTGTTCGTCTCTTGGGTGTCTGCCCTTTGTCTGGGTCCCCATTGCAAGTCTGCCCCACTGCAAGTCTGCCCCCACAAGTCTGTCCCCACTGCTCCGTCCACTGCAGTCTGCCCCACTGTCCGCCCCACTGCAAGTCTGCCCCACTGTCTGTCCCCACTGCAAGTCTGTCCCCACTGCTCCGTCCCCACTGCAAGTTCCGTCCCCATTGCAAGTCTGTCCCCACTGTCTGTCCCCACTGTCTGTCCCACTGTGTCTGTCCCCACTTGTCTGTCCCCACTGTGTCTGCCCCATTGTCTGTCCCATTGCAAGTCTGCCCCCATTGCAAGTCTGTCCCCACTGCAAGTCTGCCCCATTGTCCGCCCCCACTGCAAGTCTGCCCACTGTCCGCCCCCACTGCAAGTCTGCCCCCACTGCTCCCCACTGCCCCACGTCCCACTGCCCCACTGCCCGTCCCCACCAGTCTGGCCCCACTGCCCCACTGTCTGCCCCCACTGCAGTCTGTCTGCCCCACTGCTCCGCCCCCACTGTCTGCCCCCACGTCTGCCCCCATTGCAAGTCTGCCCCCATTGCCCCCACTGCCTGCCCCCACTGTCTGCCCCATTGCAAGCTCCGCCCCCATTGCAAGTCTGCCCCATTGCAAGTCCCGTCCCCCACTGCAAGTCTGCCCCAACTGTAAGTCTGCCCCATTGCAGTCTGCCCCCATTGCAAGTCTGCCCCCATTGCAAGTTTGGTCCCCACTGCAAGTCTGCCCCACTGTGTCTGTCTCTGCATGCAGGTCTGTCCCATAGCAGGTCTGTCCCATAGTAAGTCTGTTTCACAGCAAGTTCATTCCATGTTTGTCCCATAGCAACTTCGTCCCACAGCAGTTTGTCCCATAGCAGGCTGCCCCATCGCAGGCTTGCCCATCGCAGGCTTCGCCCCATCGCAGGCCTGCCCCATCGCAGGCCTGCCCATAGCAGGCTCCCATCGCAGGCTCTACAGCAGGCTCTCCGCCCCATAGCAGGCCTGCCCCTCATGAGTCTGCCCCCTGTGAGTCTGCCCCTATGTCTGCCCTCAGAGTCTGGCTCCCCTACAGTCTGCCCCAGTCTGCCCCCATGAGTCCCCAGCCCCCATGAGTCCCCCCCCCCAGGGTCTGCCCGCCCCACTGTCCGCCCCACTGCCAGTCCCACTGCCCGTCCCCACTGCGAGTCTGCCCCATTGCGAGTCTGCCCCCACTGCCGGTCCCATGAGTCTCGGTCCCCACTGCTGCAGGTCTGTCCCATAGCAGGTTCCCAGTTCAGCAGCCTGCCCATAGTTGCTCGTTCCCAGCAGGCTCACTCCCAGCAGGCCTCGCTCCCACAGCAGGCCTGCTTCACAGCAGGCCTGCCCCATAGCAGGTCTGCCCCCATGGTGCCTGCCCCATAGCAGGCTCTGCCCCATAGCAGCCCGCCCCATTGCAAGTCTGCCCCATAGCAAGTCTGCCCCTTTGCCCTGCGTGTTCGCCTTGCAAGTTGTCCCATAGCAAGTTCTCCCACAGTGCCCGTCCCCATTGCAAGTCTGCCCTTGCAAGTTCTCCCATTGCAAGCTCCGTCTCCCCACTGTCTGCCCCCCATTGCCTGCCCCACAGGCCTCTGGTCCCACGTTCCGTCCCATTGCAAGTCTGCCCCACTGCAAGTCTGCCCCATCAGGTCCGTCCCACTGCAAGTCTGTCCCCACTGCAAGTCTGCCCCCACTGTCTGCCCCCCACTGTCTGCCCCATTGCAAGTCTGCCCCACTGCAAGTCTGCCCCACTGCAAGTCTGCCCCCACTGCAGTCTGCCCCACTGCAAGTCTGCCCCACTGCAGTCTGCCCCCACTGCAGGTCTGCCCCCACTGCAGGTCTGTCCCAGCAGGTCTGTCCCAGCAATGTCTCATAGCAGTTCTGTTCCACAGCAACTCTGTCCCATAGCAAGTTCACCATAGCAGGCCTGCCCCATCGCAGCCTCGCTCCCATCGCAGGCTCGCCCCCATCGCAGGCCTCAGTCCCAACACAGGCTCCCATCGCAGGCTCCCCATCGCATTCCCACTCCAGGCTCCCCCCCCATCGCAGGCTCCCATCGGCCTCCGCCCCATCGTCTGCCCCACGTGTCCGCCCCACTGCCCGCCCCATTGCAAGCCTGCCCCACGGTCTGCCCCCACAGTCTGCCCCATTGCAGCTCCGCCCCACTGCCCGCCCCACTGTGTCTGTCCCACAGCAGGCTCAGCCCCCCCACAGCAGATCTGCCCCCACAGCAGATCTGCCCCCCCACAGCAGGCTCGCCCCCAGCACGCCTGCCCCCCACAGCATCCGCCTGCCCCCCCACAGCAGGCCTGCCCCCCCCACAGCAGGCCTGCCCCCCCCACAGCAGGCCTGCCCCAGTAGGCCTGCCTCCCATAGGCCAGGCTCCATAGCAGGCTCTGCCCCATAGCAGGCCTGCCCCATAGCAGGCCTGCTCCCATAAAAGCCTGCCCCTTTGGTGTCTGCTCCCCTTGTGCCTGCCCTTGCAGTCTGCCCGCATTGTAAGTTTGCCCCATTGCAAGTTAGTCTCCCCATTGCAAGTTCGTTCTGCACAGGTCTGTCCTGCAGCAGGTCTGTCCCATAAAGTCTGTTTCATAGCAAGTCCATTCCATAGCATGTTTGTTCCAATAGCAACTTTGTCCCAAGTTCTATCGGCTTCCTGGGTTCTATCGCAGGTTTGCCCCATCGCAGGCTCACCCCATCGCAGGCTCACTCCCATCGGCTCTCCATCGCAGGCCTGCCCCATAGCAGGTTTGCCCCCATAGCAGGCTTCCTGCCCCCCCTTGCCCCCAGAGTTCGCCCTCTGTGAGTCCCCCTATCGAGTCCGCCCCCATCGAGCCCGCCCCGAGTCCCCTTTGCGAGTTCCCCTTATGAGTTCCCCCCTTTGCGTTCCCCCCTTTATGAGCCCCCATGAGTTCCCCTTTGCGAGTTCCCCTTGCGAGTTCTCCCATCATGGGTCTGCCCCCCACTGCCCACAGGCTCCCAGGCTCACCTTACAGCAGCTGCCCCATAGCAGGCCTTGCCCCACAGCAGGCCTCCTGGCTCCCCATAGCAGGCTCGCTCCCATAGCAGGCTCCGTCCCACAGCAGGCTCTGCCCCACAGTTCTTTGGGTCTCTTCTGCAAGTCTGGGTCTCCCTTTGCAGTCTGCCCCTTGCAAGTCTCCCTCCCAAGTTCTCCCCATAGCAAGTCCTCCCACACAGCCTGCCCCTTTGTCTGCCCCCAAGTGTCTGTCCCACTGAGTCTGCCCCACTGCAAGTCTGCCCCACTGTCTGTCCCCACTGCCCGTCCCACTGCCCACTGCCCCACTGGCCCCATCCCACTGCCCCCACTGCACGCCCCATTGCCCCACAATGCCCGCCTCCCCACTGCTCCGTCCCCATTGTGTCTGCCCCCATTGCAAGTTCTGTCCAGCAGAACTTCATCTCCCCATTGCAAGTCTGCCCCCATTGCAACCTGCCCCCACTAACTCTGTCTCCCATCCTGCCCCAGGCCCCACTCCCAGGCCCCCATCAGGCCCCACGATCGCAGGCCCCCACTGCCCCCCACTGCACCTCGACCGTCTGCCCCACGTTCCGCCCCATCGTGCACGTCTCCCATCGTCTGTCCCCATTGCCCTCCCGTCCCCCCACTGTCCCACCCCCACTGCCCCCCCACTGCGCCCCACTGCGCCCCCACTGTCTGCTCCCCACTGCCGTTCCCCGTCCCACCGTCCCCCACTGTCCCCACTGTCCCACTGCCCCACTGGCTCCACTGTCTGCCCCACTGCTCCGCCCCATTGTCTGTCCCCATTGTGCCTGCCCCCACAGTGTCTGTCCCATGCAGCCTGTCTCCCCATTGCAAGTTTGTCCCCATTGTCTGCCCCCATGGTCCCCACTGTCCCACTGCCCCACTGCAAGTCTGTCCCACTGTCCGTCCCCACTGTCCCCACTGTCCCCACTGCCCCACTGCCCCACTGTCCCCACTGTCCCACTGTCCCACCCCCACCCCACTGTCCCCCACTGTCCTCCGTCCCCACTGCCCGTCCCCACTGTCTGCCCCACTGTCTGCCCCACTGTCTGCCCCACAGCCTGCCCCCACTGCCCGTCTCACTGCAGCCTCCGTCCCCACTGTCTGTCCCACTGCAGTCCAGTCCCCACTGTCCCCACCCCCACTGCCTGCCCCACTGCCCCACTGTCTGCTCCCACTGCCTGTCCCACTGTCTGCCCCACTGTGCCTGCCCCATTGCAGCCTGTTCCCCATTGTCTGTCTCCCCATTGCCCCATTGCCCCCACTGTCGTCTGTCCCAGTCCCACTGTCCCCACTGTCCCACTGTCCCCACTGTCCCCACTGTCCCACTGCCCCCACTGTCCCCACTGTCTGCCCCACTGCCTGCCCCACTGCCCGTTCCCCACTGTCTGCCCCCACTGCCTGCCCCCACTGTCAGTTCCCCATGTGTCTGCCCCCACTGTCCCACTGTCCCCACTGTCTGTCCCCACTGTCTGCCCCACCCCCACTGCCCCACAAGTCTGCCCCCACTGTCTGCCCCACTGTCTGCCCCCACTGCCCCACTGCTTCCGTCCCCACTGTCTGCCCCACTGTCTGTCCCCACTGTGTCTGCCCCCATTGCAGTTCTGTCCCCATCAGTTCGCCCCCATTGCAAGTGCCTGTGTCCCACTGTCCCCCACTGTCCCACTGTCTGCCCCACTGTCTGTCCCCACTGTGCTCCGTCCCACTGCCCGTCTCCCCATTGCCTGCCCCATTGCAGTTCTGTCTCCATGCAGTCTGCCCCATTGCCCGTCTCCCCATTGCAGTTCCGTCCCCACTGTGCTGCCTCCGTCTCCCCATTCCTGTCCCCATCAGTCCTGTCCCCACCGTCCCACTGTCCCCACTGTCCCACTGTCCCACTGTCTGCCCCAGTCCCACTGCCCCAAGTCTGTCCCCACCTGTCTGTCCCCACTGTGTCTGTCCCACTGCCCCCATTCCCCATTGTCTGTCTCCCAAAGTCTGCCCCATTGCCCCATGCAGCCCGTCCCCATTCTGTCCCCACGTCCCACTGTCCCACTGTCCCACTGTCCCCACTGCTCCCACTGCCCCACTGTCTGGCCCCCACTGTCTGTCTCCCCACTGCCCGTCTCACTGTTCTGTCTCCCCATTGCAGTGCCTCCTGCCCCATTGCTCCTGTCCCCATTGCAGCCTGGTCCCCACTGTCTGCCCCCACTGCAGTCTCGCCCCCATTGTGTCTGCCCCCATTGCAAGCCTGCCCCCATGCCTGCCCCACTGTCTGCCCCCATTGTCTGCCCCCATTGCAAGTCTGTCCCAAGCAGGTCTGTCCCAGCAAGTCTGTTTACAGCCTGTTTCCAGCAACTTTGTTCCATAGCAACTTGTTCCAAGCAACTTTGTTCCATAGCAACTTTTGAAATTCTAGCAACTTTTGTTCCATAGCAACTTTGTTCCATAGCAACTTTGTTCCATAGCAACTTTGTCTTCCATAGCAACTTTGTTCATAGCAACTTTGAGTTCTATAGCAACTTTGACTCATAGCACTGTTCAGTACCTTTGGTTCTGATAGCAATTTTGTTCCATAGCAACTTTGTTCCATAGCAATCTTTGTTCCATAGCAACTTTTGTTCCATAGCAACTTTGTTCCATAGCAACTTTTGTTCCATAGCAACTTTTATTCATAGCAACTTTGTCCCATGTTGTTCAGTTGCCCATCGCGCTTCCTATCGCAGGTTTGCCCCTTTGCGAGTTTTCCCCTTTTATATTCCTGCCTTTTGGTTTCCCTGCCCTTTGCAGTCTGCGCCTTTTATGAGCCGACCCCTATGAGTCTGTCCCCCTGAGTCTCCCCTGCAGCCTCTGCCAGCCCCTGTCCCCAGAGTCTGTCCCATTGGAGTCTCCTGTCCCCACAGAGTCTGCCCCACAGAGTCTGGCCCCATGCTCCCATCCCAGGTCTGTCCCAGGATCGCCTGCACTGTCCCATAGCAGGTCTGTCCCATCCTGCCTGCCCCAAGCTCTCTGTCCCAGGCTCTGCCCCATAGCAGGCTCCTGCCCCATAGCAAGTTCGGGTCCCCACAGCGCTCTGGTTCCATGTCTGGGTTCCATGTCTGTCTCTTTGGTGTCTGCCCCTTTGTCTCTAGTCTGCTCTATCAGTCTGCATCCCCTGCATTGCAGTCTGCCCCATTGCAGTCCACCACTGCAAGTCTGTCCCCACTGCTCCGTCCCATCAAGTCTGTCCCACTGTCTGTCCCACGTTCCCACCAAGTCTGGCCCCATTGCAGTCTGCCCCACTGCAAGTCTGCCCCCATTGTCTGCCCCATTGCAAGTCTGTCTCATTGCAAGTCTGACTGTCTGCCCGACTGCTCCGTCTCCCATTGCAAGTTTGTCCCCACTTGTGCCTCACTGATTGCAAGTCTGCCCCTCTGTCTGCCCCACTGTCCGTGCCCCATCAGGCCCCATTGTCTGCCCACTGCAAGTCTGGCCCCACTGGTCCCACTGTCCCCACTGCCCCCACTGCAAGTCTGCCCCACTGTCTGCCCCACTGCCCCCATGCAGCCCGTCCCCACTGTCTGGCCCCACTGCAGTCTGCCCACTGTCTGCCCCCACTGTCTGTCCCATTGCAAGTTCTTGCCCCCATTGCCCGTCTCACTGCAAGCCCCACCCCATTGCAAGTCTGCCCCACTGTGTCTGCCCCACTGTCTGCCCCACGGTGTCCCATTGCAGTTCTGCCCCCATTGCAAGTCTGCCCCATTGCAATTCGTCTCCCCCATGTTTGGTTCTACTTGTCTGCCCTGCAGGTTCAAGTCCCAGCAAGTTCGCAAGTTTCCATAGCAAGTCTGTTCCATAGCAACTTTGTTCCATAGCAACTTTGTTCTAGCAATCTTGTTCCATAGCAACTTTGTTCCATAGCAACTTTGTTCCATAGCAACTTTGTTCCATAGCAACTTTGTTCCATAGCAACTTTGTTCCATAGCAACTTTGTTCCATAGCAACTTTGTTCCATAGCAACTTCGTCCCATAGCAAGTTTGTTCCATAGCAGGCTCGCCCCATCGCAGGCTCGCCCCATCGCAGGCTGCCCTGAGCAGGCTCTCGCCCATCGCAGGCTCTCGCCCCCTTTGGCGGTTCGCCCCTTGCGAGTTCGCCCCTGCGAGTTCGCCCCTTGCGAGTTCGCCCCTTTATGCCTCGCCCCTTGCGAGTTCGCCCCTTGTGAGTTCGCCCCATTGCGAGTTCGCCCCATTGCGAGTTCGCCCCATGCCTCCGCCCCATTGCGAGTTCGCCCCATTGCGAGTCTGCCCCATTGCGAGTTCGCCCCATTAGTGAGTCTGCCCCCATTGGGAGTTCTCGCCCCATTGGAGTCTGCCCCATTGCGAGTTCCCTCATTGCAGGTTCGCCCCATTGCAAGTTCGTCCCATAGCAAGTCGTCCCATAGCAGGTCTGTCCCATAGCAGTCTGTCCCATAGTGTGCTTGTTCCATAGCAGGCTCGCCCCATAGCAGGCTTGCTCCAGCAGGCTCGCCCCATAGCAGGCTCGCCCCATAGCAAGTTCGCCCATAGCAGGCTTCGGCCCCATTGCACGCTCCGCCCCTTGCAGTTCGCCCCTTTGCACGTCTGACCCTTCAAGTCTGCCCTTGTGTCTGCCCTTTGGTTCCGCCCATTGCAAGTTCCGCCCATTGTCTGCCCCATTGCATTCTGCCCCATTGCAAGTTCTGCCCCATTGCAAGTCTGCCCCATTGCAAGCTCCGCCCCATTGCAGTCTGCCCCATTGCAAGTTCGCCCCCATTGCAAGTCTGCCCCATTGCAAGTTCGCCCCATTGCAAGTCTGCCCATTGCAAGCCTGCCCCCATTGCAAGTCTGCCCCCATTGCAAGCCTGCCCCCATTGCAAGTCTGCCCCCATTGCAAGTTCGCCCCATTGCAAGCTCTGCCCCCATTGCAGTTCGCCCATTGCAAGTCTGCCCCATTGCAAGTCTGCCCCATTGCAAGTCTGCCCCCATTGCAAGTCTGCCCCCATTGCAAGCCCGTCCCCATTGCAGCTCCGCCCCCATTGCAAGTCTGCCCCATTGCAAGTCTGCCCCCATTGCAAGTCTGCCCCCATTGCAGTTTCCTGCCCCCATTGCAGCTCCGCCCCACGTGCTCCGCCCCATTGCAAGTCCGCCCCATTGCAAGTCTGCCCCATTGCAAGTCTGCCCCCCATTGCAGCCTGCCCCCATTGCAAGTCTGCCCCATTGCAAGCTCCGCCCCATTGCAGTCTGCCCCATTGCAAGCTCCGCCCCATTGCAAGCCTGCCCCATTGTAAGCCTGCCCCCATTGCAAGTTCTCCGCCCCATTGCAAGCTCCGCCCCCCACTCAAGTCTGCCCCATTGCAAGTCTGCCCCATTGCTCCGCCCCCATTGCAAGTTCGCCCCATTGCAAGTCTGCCCCACAGCAAGCTCCGCCCCACTGCAAGTCTGCCCCATTGCACTTCGCCCCATTGCAACTTCGGCCCCCCATTGCAAGCTCCGCCCCATTGCAACTTCGCCCCCATTGCAAGTTCTGCCCCTGAGGTAAGTCTGCCCCATTGCAAGCTCCGCCCCCATTGCGTCTGCCCCATTGCAGCCTCGCCCCATTGCAAGTCTGCCCCACAAGCCTGCCCCATTGCAAAAGTCTGCCCCCATTGCAAGCCTGCCCCCACAAGTTCGCCCCATTGCAAGTTCGCCCCATTGCAGTCCGCCCGCAATGCAAGCCTGCCCGCATTGCAAGTCTGCATTGCAAGTTCGTCTGCATTGCAAGTTCGCCCGCATTGCGTCTTCGCCCGCATTGGTAAGTTTGTCCGCATTGCAAGTTTGTCCGCATTGCAAGTTCGCCCGCATTGCAAGTCTGCCCGCACTCCCATTGCAAGTTTGCCCCATTGCAAGTCCGCCCCCATTGCGTCCTGCCCCTGTAGCAGGTTCGTCCCATAGTAAGTCTGTTTCATAGCAAGTCCATTCCATAGCATGTTTGTTCCATAGCAACTTCGTCCCATAGCAAGTTTGTTCCATAGCACTCTCCATCGCAGGCTCTCCTCTCATCGCAGGCCCCCCATCGCAGGCTCCCCCCCATCGCAGGCTCCCCCCTATCGCAGGCTCTCGCCCATAGCAGGCTCGCCCCATAGCAGACTCGCCCCCTTTGCGAGTTCACTTTGAGTTCTCACCCCCCTTTGCGAGTCTGCCCCCATTGCGAGTTCGCCCCCTTGCGAGTTGGCCCCCCAGGAGTCCGCCCCTGCGAGTTCCCCCCTTTGCGAGTCTGCCCCTTGCGAGTTCGCCCTTTGCGAGTCTGCCCCTTTGGGAGTTCGCCCCTTGCGAGTTCGCCCCTTTGGAGTTCCGCCCCTTTGCAGTTCGGGCCCCTTTGCGAAGTTCCGCCCCTTGCGAGTCTGCCCTTGCGAGTACGCCCTTGCGGGTCTGTCCCCATGGTTCGCCCCATTGCGGGTTCGCTCCCATTGCGGGTTCGACCCATTGCGGGTCTGCCCCATTGCGGGTTCGCCCCATTGCGAGTTCTCCGCCCCATTGCGAGTTCGCCCCATTGCGAGCCTGCCCCATTGCGAGTTCGCCCCATTGCGAAGTCTGCCCCATTGGTGAAGTCCGCCCCACGAAAGCCTGCCCCATTGCGAAGTTCGCCCCATTGCGAGTTCGCCCCATTGCGAGTTCGCTCCATTGCAGGTCTGCCCCATTGGGTAAGCTGTCCCATTGCAGGTCCGCCCCATAGCAGGCCCGTCCACAGCAGGTTCGTCCCATGCAGGTCTGTCTCATAGCAGGCTCGCCCCATAGCAGGCTCGCCTCATAGCAGGCTTCCTGCCCCAGCAGGCTCGCCCCATAGCAGGTCCTGCCCCATAGCAGGCCTGCCCCATAGCAGGCTCTCGCCCCATAGCAGGCTCGCCCATAGCAGGTTGCCCCATAGCAGGTTTCGCCCCCATAGCAGGTTTCGCCCCATAGCAGCCCTCAGCCTGCCCCATTGCAAGTTCGCCCCATAGCAATTCTGCCCCTATGCAACTTCGCCCCGCCGTAAGCTCCGCCCCATTGCAAGTCTGCCCCATGCAAGTTCGCCCCCATTGCAAGTCTGCCCCATTGCAAGTCTGCCCCATTGCAAAGTCTGGCCCCATTGCAGTTCCCGCCCCCATTGCAAGTTCGCCCCATTGCAAGCTCCGCCCCATTGCAAGTTTGCCCCCATTGCAAGCTCCGCCCCATTGCAAGCTCCGCCCCCATTGCAAGTCTGCCCCCCACGTGCCTCCGCCCCCCCTGAGATCGCCCCCATCTGCAAGCCTGCCCCCATTGCAAGTTCGCCCCATTGCAAGTCTGCCCCCATTGCAAGCCTGCCCCTGCTGCAAGTCTGCCCCCGCTGCAAGTCTGCCCCATTGCAAGTTCTCCGCCCCCCTGCCAAGCTCCGTCTGCCCCTATTGCAAGTTCGCCCCTACTGCAAGACTGCCCCTACTGCAAGATCCGCCCCTACTGCAAGTTCTGCCCCATTGTAAGTCTGCCCCCATTGTAGTCTGCCCCACTGCAAGTCTTCGCCCCTTGCTGTAAGTTCCGCCCCCTGCTGCAAGTCTTTCCCTGCTGCAAGCCTGCCCCCAAAGTGCCTGCCCCTGCAGTGCCTGCCCCTGCTGCAAGTCTGCCCCTGTTGCAACCGCCCTGCTGTGCCTGCCCCTGCTGCAAGTCCGCCCCTACTGCAAGCTCCACCCCCTGCTGCAAGCCTCCGTCTCTGCTGCAAGCCTGCCCCTGCTGTGTCTGCCCTGCTGCAAGTTCGCCCCTGCTGCAAGCTCCGCCCCTGTTGCAAGCTCCGCCCCCGCTGCAAAGTCTGCCCCTGCTGTGTCTGCCCCCGTTGCAAGTCTGCCCCGTTGCAAGTTCGCCCCTGCTGCAAAGTTCCCCCTGTTGCAAGTCTGCCCCTGCTGTGCTCCGCCCTGCTGTGCCTGCCCCCTGCTCCGCCCCGTTTCAAGCCTGCCCTGCTGTGCTCCGCCCCTGCTGTGTCTGCCCCTGCTGCAACTGCCCCCGCGTGTCTGCCCCGTTGCAAGCTCTGCCCCTGCTGCAAGCCCGCCCCCTGCAAGTCTGCCCCTGATGTAAGCCTCCGCCCTGCTGTAAGCTCCGCCCCTCTGCAAGCTCCGCCCCTGCTGCTCCGCCCCTGCTGCAAGCTCCCTGCAAGCTCCGCCCTGCTGCAAGCTCCGCCCTGCTGCAAGCTCTCCCCCTGCTGCGTCTGCCCCGCTGCAAGTCTGCCCCTTTGCAAGTCTGCCCCCTGCTGCAAGCCTGCCCTCTGCAAGTCGCCCTGCCAAAGTTCGCCCCCTCTGCAAGTCTGCCCCCATTGCAAGTTCGCCCCCATGTGTCTGCCCCCATTGCAAGTTCCGCCCCATTGCAAAAGCCTGCCCCCATTGCAAGCTCCGCCCCATTGCAGTCTGTCTCCCATTGCAGGTCCGCCCCATTGCAAGTCTGCCCCATTGCAAGTCTGCCCCATTGCAAGCCTGGCCCCATTGCAGCTCCGCCCCATTGCAAGTCTGCCCCCATTGCGAGTTCTGCCCCATTGCAAGTTTCCGCTCCCCATTGCAAGTCTGCCCCATTGCAAAGCCCGCCCCATTGCAAGTTTCGCCCCATTGCAAGTCTGCCCCCATTGCAGGTTCGCCCCATTGCAAGTCAGCCCTGCCAGCAAGCCTCGTCCCAGCAGGTCTGTCCCATAGCAGATCTTCATCCCATAGCAGGTTTGTTCCATAGCAGCTCGCCCCATAGCAGGCTCGTCCCCATAGCAGGGCTTCCCC